TTTTTTGTTTTTTTTTCATTACAAACTTTCAGCTCATAGCTCCGTCATTTCTTGACCGATTTGAGATCTAATTACAGTTTTGGGCTCATAGATTAATTTACTCTAATCCTACCTAAAAGATTTTTAATTTGAGGGTAGGCTAGTAGAGATCCTGATGAGTAATAAAATTCAATCGGGTATACGCGCGCACCATGCTTGGTATTGCTGGCGCACAAAAATATAGCTAATAAAAAGGGTAAAAAAGTTTTCATAGATTAATTTGCTCTAATCCTGCCTAAAAGAATTTCAAGTACCGCGGCTATTGAGGATTCCCTCTTGTTTTTCCCTCAGATGCTATTACAGATAAAAAAAAGATAGATATTTAGATAAATATTATTAAAAAATGTATTTCTATTTAAAATTTTGTGGATTCTCGTTGATTCAAAATTGAGCACTAACTTATCAAGTATATATATAACTTTGTACTTATTGTTTGCTTTCTTTGTTTTCTTAGCGCAAAGATACACAATGGGCTATCTGCGCTCTGTCCACCGCAGTAAATCAAATTCCGGATTTTAGTAACTTCCTTTTAAAGTACAGAAGAATTAAATTGTTTTCAGGGCCACAGACATTACAAATGTTTGAGTTTTCCAAACCCGATGTAGGAAACTGGTAAAGACACGGTAACGTTAGGAACTATTTTATCTACTAATAGCAAAGATGTACATAATTATCAGGTATACTTCCGCAGGTTCCCAGAAAGTGTTCTGTTTCAAGAGTAAATAAAACCAAAATTAAGAATAACAAATATTTTTATTTCTTGCTTTTCAAGTTCATGTGTCATGCTGTGTTATATCTTACAGAGTGCATAATTCTTCTCGTGATTCATGACATACGCACGTTTTACTGACGTCACAACAGTACAAATTGCAAAAGTAAGCGTCCGTTACGTGATGTAATTTTAGTGTTTACTGACTGATTGACAAACAACACACAATAGTACAGTGGTGCGAATGATTAAAACAGGTGACTCCTCCAGGTGGCCTTCGGGCCCCTTTCGGGGAAATAAAAAAAATGGAAAATTTAACACATAAAACCTCACACAGGGCACTTTTCAAAGTACGTAAGACAAGTCTTTTTTTGTGTGTGTGGTGGGGAGCCTATGGGGATTGTGGGATGCCTTTGATACACATAGGGTAAAAAGCCATAAGAAGCAAACAGATTCTCTTTTATTCTTAATAGCGTATTACAATTTATTATTTTATTTGTTTATTCTGTGCGATTCATTTCACTTTGGGGGCATAAGAGCTACCCCCTCTTTCATATGCACATTTGCCAATCCCAACCAGTATCGCATGGTATATGAGTTTGTCGTTGACCAATTTCGCTGTTCCTTTTACCACCGCTCGTGGCCAAGGAACTCCTTGAAACAGTGGATTTACACAAAGAACACACTTAAAAAACACAAATTCGTCCATTCACATTTTTAAAACAATTATACTCTCTCTATTGTTAAACATGGAAAACATTACCTTCAAAATCCAAATATGTATTTTTCTACTGTGACGTGTAAATTTGATCTGACAATTTTAATTTAAATACGTTTATTTTATTTCTGTTTATGTTTGTTGTTGAGCGCAAAGCTACACTCTGGCCTATCTATGCTGTGTCAACCACGAGTATCGAAACCCAGTTTTTAGAGTTATCAGTCTTCAAACTTGCCGCTAGAGGGCTTAAATACGTTTACTTTCTTAAATAAAGGAAACGTATCTGTTAAGCTTTATATAAAAGAATTTATTTTTATTTGTCAATATTCACAAAAGGTGTCAAACACAGTTAACATTGAACGTCAGTATAAGAAGGAATATTTAAACTTATTTACAGTATTTAAATGTATATGTATACCTGTTGTTATTGTAATAATCTCAAGAAATTGCTCGATGGCAAAGGTCAAACTGTCATAAATAAATGTCATGTGATACTGATTCGATTCGGCAAAAATATTTGTCGTATGAAATGTAATTTCGATCACTTATACAGCGGCGAAAGACCCCATCGCTAAGATGTGTCACTACCTACCTCTACAACTGTTATGAAATTTGAACCCCGCCATCTGTAGGCTGATTTAATAACTTACTTATGTAACCGTACACTTTAATATGAAACATATCACCAGTCCTGATAATCTAACATTTGTGTAATGTTTATTCAGTGTTAAAAATATTGGTTATATTTATTGGTAAATGTTTTAAGCAGTTTGTGTTTGTTTTTGAATTTCGCGCAAAGCTACACGAGAGCTATCTGCGCTAGACGTCCCTAATTTAGCAGTATAAGACTAGAGGGAAGGCAGCTAGTCTTCACCACCCATCGCCAACACTTGGGCTATTCTTTTGCCAACGAATAGTGGGATTGACCGTCACGGCTGAAAGGGCGAGCATGTTTGGTGTGACGGGGATTCGAACCCGCGACCCAGAGAATTTAAAGTTCAGCCAGATTGTTCGTGAGATTTGGATACGTCCCTTCACTGTAGAGTAGTTGGTCGAATGTTATATTTGTTTGTTTTAGAACTTTTAGTCAAAGCTATACAAGAGCCTTCCCTAATTACAAACTGATAGACTAGAGTTTGATTGTTTCACGTAAAGCGCAAAACTGCACAGTGGGCTATCTGTGATCTGCCTACCATGGATATCGAAACCCAATTTTTAGCATTATAAGCCCAAAGACTTACCACTAAGCCACCGAGGAGCGATAGACAAGAGAGAAGGCTGCTAGTCAACAGCACCCATCTATTTATTTATTTCTTTTATTTCTTGCTTTTCAAGTTCATATGTCATGCTGTGTTGTAGCCTACAGAGTGCATATTTATTCTCGTTATTCATAGCATGCGCACGTTTTACTGACGTCACGACAGTACAACTTGCAACGTTAAGCGTCCCTTATGTCATGTAATTTTAGTGTCTACTGATTGACTGACAGACAATACACTAATGCATAGGGTGCGAGTGCCCCCCCCCCAGTACTCGGTATTGTTTGTTTGTAATTAAGCACAAAGCTACACAATGGACTATCTGTCCTCTGCTCACCACGGGTATCGAAACCCAGATTCTAGCGTTGTAAGTCCGCAGACATTCCGCTGTGCCACTGGGGGAGGGGGCTGTACTCGGTAGAAGGATAAGACAATTAAGGGACTAAGGGTGGGGGATAGAAGATACTACCGACTAGGACTGTTTGTGATTAATCTTTGAAAGCACTGAACGTATGATATTTTTTATTTAAAAAAGTCAATTTGTTTCGAAATGACCAAAACTAAAAAGAAAAAAAAGACAATTCGGATTTCGGACTGAAACGTTACAAATTAATTCCTTTACGTAATCGGCACAAGTTGTTAGGGTTTTGTTAGTATATAATGAAGCCCTGCGTGGTTACAATTATTCAACACCGTCTTACCTATTGTGGTGATAACTGTAAGACAGTAGAGCAAGGATCCGGAGAAAGACCACTGATGGACCGCTCCTAATTCCTTCCCGTCGTACCCTTCTTTAACGGCGGCTATTAGGTCCGACTGAAACCGTTTAATTTCTGCCGCTACAAGACCTGTCCAGTTGTCTTTATACAACACGTTCAGGTCGTACGTGATGTCCCACAGCCTCTTCACCGTCTGTTCCCGCATCTCGGTCACTTCCCCCACTTTCTTCTCCTCGTTGGGAGCCTCCAGCGCGCGGAAAGCGAAAGCACCCATGATGCTGTAGCCGACCACTAGACCGCTCAGGCCGACGTGGGAGAAGATAAAAGCTGTGAATCTAAGACAACAAGTCTTGTACTTGCTAACTGGAGGTCGTTTTTTAACGGCCTGGCGAGAGCCGCTGTGTCTAATGGGGTATTTTCGCTCCAAAGCCATAGTCCACCGACACCAAGTGATCGGTGGCCGAGCCGGGCTGACCTTCACAGGTAGCCAGGCTCGGCTTGATAGCTGTCGTTATTATTTGTCAGACGTACGTACGATGATGTATTCTTCTCTTTAAAAGCAATGTTCCTTTCAGTCTGTAAGTTATCGGGCGAGAGCAAGAACTCACAGCACAGTTTGCAATCAATCGACATAAAACACTCTTCGGTTTTCCACATGCATCTTTAAAAACCTGTTACCAGATAAACTGAAAACTTTATCACTCAACAAATTAACAGACTCGTACTCTGTCACCAAATGATAGTTTTTCGACGTTCTTCAATGTGTTTCTTTTTCCAGAAAGAATTACCAAGCTTTTGGATAACCTTTAAAACCTGGTTTGTTTTCTATGTCCAGATGAACAGCTATGAATGTAAGGACATGAACTGTTTCAAGATGATCAAAGAACGATGGTAGAATTGAAACAAAAGCAAATCGGCGAAAATATTATATTATTGACTGCTTTCATATCGTTCTATCTTTCAACAGAATTACTCTTAACTACCTTATGCAGCCAGCACGTTTTCCCAGCTCTGTTGTTCTGCGTGAAGAGGCATACATGCACGAAGGAAATTTTATGTTTACAACAGCGTCCTCTCTTGGGAAAATATAAAAATATACCTTTTTTTTTTCTCTAGATTAACACTAATAATATATTTTATGGAATTTCCTAGAAATTAAAAAGAAACAAATGAGAAAACTAATTTACTGTAGATGTGTTCTGAGGCAACCAGGTAATTCAATACTACAGAATCGAAAAAAACAAGACTTAATATTAGTACATTAATTTCAAAAACAGAATAAACATTAAGTAATTAACTTTTGTGAGCAATTTAAAAAAAAAACTTGTCCCTTCAACTTTTTCTTGCTTTTATATTCGTAGCTCTATCGACTTCTTTAGTTGTACAATACGTCTTATTTTATTAGTGCCAGAAATATTTGTAATAGAACTCATCGTGGTAGCTACTATCTGCATCTGTTATTTTTAGATTTCATAAATAGAAGTTTAAAACATTTTAGTAACCCATTATTTATTAAATAAATATAAAATATACTCCAGAAATATTTGTATAGAACTCATCGTAGTAGATTTCATAAAATGAAGTTTAAAACATTAAGAATTTCGAAAGTAATAAACTTTAAATTTGTGTAATTTGTTACTTAGGCATTTCTCGAGAGAAAGGTATTTTATTAGTAAATTTTTGAGGAAAATAGAATATGTTTGTTATTCAAATTTATATATATATATATTTTTTTTTTCTAACATATAGGGCCCGGCATCGCCAGGTGGTTAGGGCGCTCGACTCGCACAACAAACATGCTCGCCCTTTCAGCCCACGGTCAATCCCACTATTCGTAGGTAAAAGAATAGCCCAAGAGTTGGCGGTGGGTGGTAATGATTAGCTGCCTTCCTTCTAGCCTTACACTGCTAAATTAGGGACGGCTAGCGCCGATAGCCCTCGTGTAGCTTTGCGCGAACTTCCAAAGAAAACAAAACAATCTAATATATAGGGTGGGGGGCCAAAGTGAGTATACATTTGTCTCATTTATAATGTGTCATAACATCTTACTCTGAAACAAACAATAATTAAATTGTTTTTGTAATATTATATTTACTCCAATCGTACAATTTCAACTATAAACCATCTTCTGATACATTGTTTAAATATACATATGGTTACGAATAAAACATATTGGTTTTTTTCTTACGATATTGGCCCCCTAGATTTATTCATTAAATCTACTTTCTTGTAAGTAGGACTTAAGAGAATATTTGAATTAATTTTGTTTGTTTCATAAGTGCAGATTGTTCTGTGCTCTACCCATCAAAGGTATCGAAACCCGATTTTTAGCATTATAAGCCCTTATACTGAGTGAAAAGGGACAATTGAATTAGTAGCCATTAAAGTGGCTTGACCATTTTTAAATATTGTTCTCGTCACGCCACAATTAACTTTTTTTGCTTTTATTTTTGTTATCTTTTATAACTGATGGACCTATTTGGTCGTAAGATAGAGATATTTTTCATTTAATACAGCAATAGTGACAAAACTTTAGATATAAAAAAAAGTATTTAATTTTGTATTTAAATTTTTCTGAGAAATAATTGAGACCATAATTCAAGTTATTATCAGAAATGAGAGTCATGGCCTTGGTTTAATTTTCGATCGAATTCAATTACAAAGTTAAATTGTTCTTTCCCAATTTTTTTTTCACTTATTACCTGCCCCCCAGTGGCACAGCGGACTTATAACGCTAGAATCCGGGTTTCGATACCCGTGGTGGGCAGAGCACAGATAGCCCATTGTGTAGCTTTGTGCTTAATTACAACCAACCAACAACAATCACTTATTTCCATAGTTTCTCAAAAATATAATTATTTTGAATTCGTCCAGAAAAATACCACATTCACAAATCCATCATTTTTTTCTAATTGATTATTCATTAATTATACTAACGACAGACATTGTATTACGTAATGTCAAAAGTACACTTTATGATATTAAATATTTGATAAAATCATTTTGTTACAAATACCTGATAATCGTTATATATTAGTGTATTAAAAATACCTTTGTGAATCGGGAAAAATATGTTTCAAACTTTAAAAAACAATATTTCCTCTAAAAAACAGTAAACGTGCATGTGCGATTACGGCTTCTGATAGAAATCTTAGTCTAACCGTGTTAAGATAAGAAACATTATTTACTTTTTCTGTTTACAATGCGCATCCCAAGGCTTCTTTTTTGATTCCGCCTGCACATCAATTGGTTTATTTGGAATTTCGCGCCAAGCTACACGAGGACTATTTGTGCTAGTCGCCCCTAATTTAGCAGTGATAGACTAGAGATAAGACAGCTAGTCAACACCACTCACCGCCAACTCTTGGGATACTCTTTTACCAACGAATGGTGAGATTGACCGTCACCTTATAACGCCTCGGTGACTGAAAGGGCGATCATGTTCGGTGTAACGGGGATTCGAACCCGCGACCCTCGGATTAAATGTAAGTTCTTCGTCTTGGTACAGAATTCCTATATTATGAACTATAACTATTTAGTATATACATAAATTAGTTTATAACTTCTGACTTAGCTGTTATGTAGCTTATTAATATATATGTGTGTGTGTGTGTTAAAGTGAAGGCGATTAAATTTCAGATTGTAGTGACGTATCAGTACTCCCAAAACTACCATTTTGTATATATTTCATGTGAGTAAAACCATAATATATGTGAAGAACGGTGCTCGTCATAAAAATTGTTTCCCACACCACAAATATTTGTCTCTTTTAGCACTGATCATGTATTTATTTAACTTTGGTGTTTGTTTGTAGAGTGGGAGTCAAACCCCGAATTCTAGCATTATAAGCCCATAAACTTAACATTCGAGCCACCGATGGATAATTGTTTCCTGCTCAGTATCTTTAATAAGTACGGCAAGGCTAAACAACACAAGTTTCGAGAACGTCTAGATTTTAAAATGTATGCTACAACAATATATATCTAACAAATAAAATAAAGTCCTTTTTTATATATTAGGGCAAGAAAATAAGGGTTAATTCCAAAGAGTATGAGAACTGGGAGAAACGTTTGTTTTTGTTGTTAAGCTCAACAGTGGGCTATCTGTCCTATGCCCAACTATGTGATATGCAAGTATGTCATGCGTTTTCTACCTACTTAATTAACGTGTAGATTTTTTAAATTTCTCTGCGTATGGAATATGCTTAATTCCTAATATATATAAAGTCGGTCAAGGGAACAACTAGGTTCTTCTCATCCTTGATCAACACGAGAC